CTCTTCCTCTCTCTCTTCCTCCCTCCCTCCCTCCCTCCTCCCCCCCCCACTCTCCCCTTCTCTCCTTCCCTCCCTCCTTCCCCCATCTCTCTCTTTCCTCATCCTTCCCCTTCTACCCCCTTTCTCTCCTTTTTTCTCTTTCATTTCTTTTTCTATTCTTTCCTTCATCGTTTTTTTATTAAAAAAAAAAAAGTTGGGAAACGAACGTGGAACTGACACACAGGCCGAGAACGGAGGGGCGTGTTTTTGCTGCCTTTAAATGGATGGATGCGGCGGGATCTTTTTTTGTCGTTGTTGTTTTTGTTGTTGGAGCGGATTGTTGTTGTTGTTGTTGTTTTTTGTTATATGGTGTTGTACGTGGTTTGTATGCGGAGGTAGGAAGAGTGAGTGAGAGGGAGAGAGAGAGAGAGAGAGAGAGAGAGAGAGAGAGAGAGAGAGAGAGAGAGAGAGAGAGAGAATATGAGAATGAGAGAGAGAAAGAGAGAAAGAGAGAAAGAGAGAAAGAGAGAGAGAGAGAGAGAGAGAGAGAGAGAGAGAGAGAGAGAGAGAGAGAGAGAGAGAGAGAGAGAGAGAGAGAGAGAGAGAGAGGCAGAGACTCAGAGAGAGAAAGAATAAAAAAGAAAAGGGGAGAGAAAGAGACAGGGTGAGAGGGAGAGGGAGAGAGAGAGAGAGAGAGAGAGAGAGAGAGAGAGAGAGAGAGAGAGAGAGAGAGAGAGAGAGAGAGAGAGAGATCCATGAGGCTGCATTTTCTATTTAAAGCTGTTTATTGATCGATATTTATTTATGTCCGACGCACGATTTCTGGCGTAACAGCATGACCCAAATTGAGAGATCCTAATTACTACGCTTATAATTGCATTTATTCATATTCCTCAGTCGCTATGTTTGAACTGATTATCAAAACCACATTGATTTGCCGCAATCCTCGCGCGTACGACACTATTTTTCTCTTTATTAGAGTAGATGAAATGTGCTCGTGTGTGTGTGTGTCTGTGTATGTGTGTGCGTGGGTGCGTGTGGTGAGGGGCACGTGTGTGTGTGTGTGTGTGTGTGTGTCTGTGTCTGTGTCTGTGTCTGTGTGCGTGTGGTGAGGGGCACGTGTGTGTGTGTGTGTGTGTGTGTGTGTGTGTGTGTGTGTGTGTGTATGTATGTGCGGTCCGCAATAGCCCGTAGGCCTGAATACGTGTGTGTGTGTGTGTGTGTGTGTATGTGCGGTCCGCAATAGCCCGTAGGCCTGAATACGAGTGTGCACGCGCGTGTGAATCGGCGTCCGACCGTGGTTCGAGGGTGCTTCCCGAGGCGTGTGACGCGGCTCCGGGGGCCTTTGTCCAGTCGCCAGCGCCCAAGGAGGACAAGAGGGTGAGGGTAGGGGTGGAGGGCGGGGGAAGGAGGGACGAGGGGAGGAGGGACGAGGGGAGGAAGAGCAAAAGGAAGGGAGAAGGAGAGGAGGAGGAGGAGGGGGAGAAGGAAGAGGGAGGGAGAGGAGGAAGAGGAGGAGGAGAAGGAAGAGGGGGGAGAGGAGGAAGAGGAGACGGGAGCGAGAGGAGGGAGGGGAAGGGCCCGGGCAAGGGGGCGTGACCACCGGGATTGAGGTCCCGGTCAAACACGGGCGGCGCGCGACCTCTCTACCTCCCCCTCCCAGCCTGTAAATTCGGAGGAAGGAGGGGGGAAAAGGAGGAGGGAGAAGGAAACAGGCAAGAGGAGGAAGGAGAAGGAACGGGGGGAGAGAAAGCGGGAGAAGGGAGGGAGGTAAGAGCAGGGAGAAGGGAAGGGGAAGAGAAGGAGAGAGAAGAAATGGAGGCAAGAGTAGAAGGGAAGAGGGCATTAATTCGCAGACGAAGGAAGGTGGGGGGAGGGCATTAATTCGCAGCGGATCTGCACACGCCCACCCGCTGCGGATTGTGCGGATGCAGTGCGGATCTTGGGGGGGAAGCGGAGGCGTCTTGTTCTTATTCCATTATTTTGCTGTTTTTTTGTTCTTGTTAATGTTGTTGGTCTTGTTCTTGTTCGATTATTCCTTCCTTATCTTTCTCTCTCTTTACTCTTCGTTTCTCTATCTCTTTACCCCTTGTCCTCCGTAAATTCCAGCCCCGGACTTTTATCCTTTCACTCCTCTGTATTTATCGCCGTTTTTTTTTTTTGTTTCCTCTAATCCTATTGTCTCTCCATATACATTTTTTTCACTCTCTCTCTCGTCTCATTTATATGCATATGATCCCTTTTGTTCTCACTCTATGTGTTCATGGACGTGTGTGTGTGTGTGTGTGTGTGTGTGTGTTTGTATGTATGTGTTTGCGATTGTTTATGCTAGAGTGTGTGTGTGTGTATGTGTGTGTGTATGTGTGTGTGTGTGTGTGTGTGTGTGTGTATGTGTGTGTGTGTGTGAGAGAGAGAGAGAGAGCGAGAGAGAGAGAGAGAGAGAGAGAGAGTGAGTGTCTGTATGTTTGTGTGTATGTGTTTGTGATTGTGATTGTGTATGCCTGTGTGTGTGTGTGTGTCTGTCTGTCTGTGTGTTTCTGTGTGTGTGCGTGTGTTTATTTATGAATGTATGCATGTACGTATGTATATCCTGTATGTGCGTGTGTTTCTGTGTGTGTGCGTGTGTTTATTTATGTATGTATGCATGTACGTATGTATATCCTGTATGTATGTGTGTGTGTGTGTGTGTGTGTGTGTGTTTCTGTGTGTGTGTGTATGTTTATTCATGTATGTATGCATGTACGTATGTATATCCTGTATGTGTGCGCCTTTGCCTGCGTGTCCGAGGGCGTCCGCAGAGGAAGCCATCAGCCGCCGTGGAAAAAGCGATTAAGTCAGAGTGAGGTTTGAATCCTGCAAGGGAAAGGGGAATGGTAGGGAGGGGGGGAAGGGGAGAGGGAAGAGGAGGGGGAAGGGGAGAGGGAAGAGGTGGGGGAAGGGGAGAGGGAGGAGAGGGAAGAGGAGAGGAAGGAGGAGGGGAAGAAGGAGGAGGAGAGGGGAATGGTAGGGAAGGAGGGGAAGAAGGGAGGGAGGAGGGAGGAAGGGGAGAGGAGAGGGAGGAGGGGGGAGGGAGGAGGGAGGAGGAGAAGAAGGAAGAGGAGGAGGAGAGAGGAATGATAGGGAAGGAGAAGGAGGAGGGCCAGAAGGAGGATGGAGGAGGAGCGGGAGGAGAAAGAGGAAGGGGGGAGTGGGGAGAGGGAGGGGGAAGAAGAGAGGGAAGAGGCAAAGAGATAGTAATCAGGATAAGGGAACTGTAGATTGTGGGCAGTAGGCATGGGAGGGGAGGGGCGAAATAGGCAAGGAAATGGGATATTAGTCAGGCGAAGGGAGGGGGAGGGAGAGGTAAGGGAGGGAATAAAAGTAAGGGGAAAGGGAGGGAGAGGTAAGGGAGGGGAATAGTATACAGAGGAAGGGAAGGGTAGATTAGAGAATCTAACATGAAGGAAGGGAGGAGTTATAGGTAATGGAGGGAAGATGAGTAAGGAGAGAGGGTACCTATTCAGGGGAAGGAGGAGGGGGTGAGGGGAGGGAAGGGAGGAAGGGGAAGGGGAGGAGTAGGGGAGGTATGAGAGTCCCATCCACCCACCTCTCCCCTTCTCCCTCCCCCACCCCATCCCTCTCATCCCTCCCCCTCCACCCCTTCCCCCCTCTCTCTCACCCCCACCCCTTTCCCCCGACGGAGATAAGAGCCCCAGAGAAACAGCACTCCCCCCCTTAACCCCCTCCCTTCCCCCTTTCCCTCCCCCCCTCGACCTCGGATTATGCGCGCAAAACTTTACTAATATCTCCGTGGCGCGTATTTCGTCCCGTTCTTTCTCTCCGCGGAACGGCGAATTCTTCAAGAAAGTTCCGTGGCGACTTGGGAACGCCGTGATAAGAAATGAATGATGATGGTCATTTTTTTTCTCTTTTTTCTTTTTTTTAGGGGGGGGGGATGGGGTAAGAGAGGAGGACCTATGAAATGAAATGATTAGTGTGTGTGTGATATGTATATATATTAGGGAAAAAATATGTGTGTGTGAGTGTGTGTGTGCGTGTATGTCTAGATATGTGTATGTGTCTGTGTCTGTTTATTACGAAAATCTCTTGCATACTACCTTAAAAATTATTAACTAGAGTTCATGTTCTGTCTATTTTTTCTTTCTTTCTTTTTAAATATAACAGCGAGCGAGTATACTCGTCGGACCACCGCTGGAAAATAAGTGACGCGTTTTTGTGTCTCTCTTTTTATGTCTGTCTGTCATGTATAATTATTTATTTATCTGTTCATGTACATATTTATTTATTTATTTATTTATATATTCATCTTTGTGTTCTATAAAGAAATATATAATTGCGCTTCACATAACTACACTGTTAGTAAGCCCTAATTTCCCGCCTTTTTTAAATTCATATAAAAAAAACAGAAAGTGAAATATATCCACGGAAATATATGGAAATATATTTGCACTGAAGGGTTATTTTCTTCGAGTTTGTTTCGTTAGACAGTAAAGAGTTTTTGCTTTTTTTTCTTATTAATATTATGGCTATTGATATTATTACTAGTATTATTGTTATTATTA